CTGTCCACCCATCTGTCCACCCATATACTCATGTTTGCCTTCACTGACCACGCCATATTATATGCGCAAAAGTGTTCATCTTTGTTGTCTGTACTTCCCACGTACCTCTCTATGTCTTTCTCTTCCTCAGTGCCACTATATTGATTACATTTGGTACATTGCCCTTTCTTCACCGAAATCAAAACTTAGCTCTATCTAACAGTATTCTCTCCCCTCCACTCCCACCCCTGGTAACCAACAAAGAAAATGGTCTTCCATAGATAAACATTTCCTTGACTATTACAATAATGGACTAATACAGTATTTGTCCTTTTGTGATTGACTTATTTCACTCAGCATAATGTCGGACTCAACAACAACTTCTTTTCTTTTTTGAATCAAAGAATGTGTAGAACATTTCCATCACCCCAGAGGTCCCCTTGTGTCCTTCCCCAGTGAATCACGTTCCCCCAACACACGCACACCCCCCCGCACAGAGGCAGCTCTGTCCCATCTGTCCCCATAGCTGACTTTGCCTGTTTTTGTGCTTACAAATGGAGTCAGTACAGCGTGGGCTCTTAGCTTCCTTCTCTTTTTTTTTTTTTTTGATTCATCGTTCTTAGTGTGTGTCAGTAGTTTGCCCCTTCTTATTACTGTGCAGAAGCAATGCCCTTATTTTAAATTTTTTCTCATTCTACTGTTTGGAAACAACTTGTGTCCCTTACTGTGTGATTGGTCAAGTTGTGGTGCACACCCTTGTACACAAGTGTGAATCCACATCCAGGATCCACTTCCAGTAGATGAACTGCTGGGTCAGAACTTTAGAATCACCATATTCTCTAAAAAAGAAAAAAAAAAATCCAGAGGATACATTAATAGGGAATGCATTAAATTACCAGACTTAGGGGGAAACTGACATTTTTAGGAAGAGCTTCCCTTTATAAGAACAGGGTCAGTCCTTGTCTCTGTTCAAATATTCCTTATGTTCCTCAGAGCATTGTAAAGTTTCCTTATTGATCATGGAAGATTTCTTGATTCGTAGGCATTTAGTA